GCTCTTCCTCCTCGCCTATTCTGCTCATCTCGATCATCGGAGGACCTGACAACGTCTCGATCACGTACTGGTTGAACAAGGCTTCCTGGATCCTGTCGAAGTAGGTGCTGACGTGGAAGGACGAGGCCAGAACTTTCACGACCAGGGTCTTGATCAGCCACAAGAAGTTTCCGACCAAGAAGCAGACCAAGATCTTGGTCACGTACGGGAGGAACTTGCTCTTGGTCTCGCGCTGTACTTTCTTGTCGAACAAGAAAAGCCAAGCGAGAAGAACTAGCCCTAGCCAGATGCAGTTCCGAACGCCTCTGCGGAGTCCGTACACAAAGTACAGAACCCTCTTCCTCAGAAGGAAGTTCCTCTCGATGAAGAAGACGACGATACGGATACCCCAACCCGAAAGCAGCCTCCCGCAGATGAGAACCAGCAAGAACACCTCCCATTTCCACAGGTGAAGCCGCCAGAGAGTCACCTTCTTCCATGACTGAATCGATAAGCTACAACCCAATGCAGCTACAATGGTGACCAAGCTCATCCATTCGAGCACCGTTAGCGCGTCCAGTTTCCCGTTCTTGTACTCTTCCGGGACATCCTCGTCAGCTAACGGATCGTCCTCTTCCTCTTCTGAAGTTTTTCCTAGAAACCCGGACGGGAGCTGGTCCGATCTCCCTATCCAACCGGAGTTCCTCCGATCTTCATCTCTTTGCGGCGGTGGATCCTGCAGCCGTGATCTTGGCTTAGCCCTAGACAACAGATCCGATCTCCTCCTAGACGACATGTTCGACGTGCATCTCACGACCTCGTCCTGCTCCATCATGTTCGTCCGTATCGTCGTGGCTGAGGAAGACAGAGAGCAGGAAGACGGATTCCACCCTTCCAGATTGATCCCCGACCTTCGGGCACGCTGCTCCTTGTCGGGAGCCCGTGCCATGGAGCTCCTCTCCGATGCTGGCACCACCTCGGCTGCGGTGGCTGCTTGACTGCTCTGCTCCTCGGCCGTGTCCTGCTCCTGCTCCACGTCGAGGGCGATCTCGCCACTGTTGTTGCTCGGTCTTCCCTGGCTCGTGAAATCGAAACTGCGGCTCCCTTCGGGGCTCCGGCGATTCACGATGGTGGGGTCCACACCGGTGGTGGTTTCCGTTCGCTGTTGCCAGAACCGGTGGTTTCTGCGGCGGGCGGCTGCCG